CCCCCCGCGTCGGCGGCGCCCGTGTGACCAGCCGATGCAAACGGTTTGCAGCTGCTGGGCTGCGCCATGCCACAACCCCCCCAGGGCTCCACTTCCCTCGGGCACCGTGCCCCAAACCCCCTGACACAGTGCAGCCCAGCAGCTGCAAGCAGGCAGCATCCACCACTCCCAGGGCTGCAGCAGGGGTGGGCAGCCGCCTGCAGCTGGACAAGAGCAGGCTGGGGCCACCCTTTCCCCTTCCCTCACAAACTCAGACTTATCTGCTTGGGGAAGGGCGGAGCATGCCTATGCCAATCACTTAACATCGGCCTGTACCGATCACATATATGTGAATTTACCTTGCATATAACAAATTTCAGATACAAAAGGGTCATTGCATAAGAGTGAATTGGTATAAATCGAACCCACATAAATCAAGGGAAACCTGTATAGTATCTAACAGTTGCTAGACTCAGTGATACACTTCTGTCTTGATCAGTAATAGGCAATGCATCAGATATCAAGCCTTTGGACTTTAGGACAGGTAAACAAATACCAGACCTTGTGTCCACTGGAATTTGTAACTGGAAGGTCTAAGATGAAAGGGGGGGGATAGAAAGAACATATTAGCATGCAGAATAGGAATTACCATTTGTGACCAGAAGCATCTAGTCTACTATTCAGTACCAGATGCTTCAGGGCAAGGTGCAGCCTTATAAGGGACAATTATAAAATAGCCCACCCATAGAAAATTGGTTTCTAGTCCCTATTGGTGAGTATTTGCAGGAGAGTTTCTGCCCTTTTATAGGAGTTAACTCTATTTGATGCACTTCTGCATGTTTCATCAGATTCTTTTTGAGTGTTGCAAAATTCTTCACTTCAATGATATCTTATGCCCATGAGTCCCGTGCTGTACTGTATTAAAGTAGTTCTTCTAATCAGCTTCCCATCTAAGTACCTAACAGCACTAGAGATGCTACCTCTGGAATGTATTTTAAAGAATAGCTCAGGAGAGCTGAGGGGGCTCTGCAGAAAAGTTAATCTGCCAAGGTTGATTCCTGGGGGCATGGAATGGGGGAAAATATCCATATTTCCCCTGTCTGGGCAGGGAAATAGTGAGAGTCCTGCCTGCATGCAAAGAGAGGGATGTTTATTTAATAGTTCCTCTCTGTATAGATCTGAAGACTTGCTGTAGCTGGGAGCAACTCCCTATCACTGTGGCATCAGTAAGGACCATCTCTGGCTATGGCATGTGGAGAGACACTAGAGCTTAAGAGAGATACCAACAACTTTCTGCCCCAGCTGTGCCAAACATTTAAACCTATGTACTTGTGCATCTCACCAAAAATTCCTTTAAGATGTCCTGCTTCTCAATCTGCTGCTGAAGGGCTCGAATCAGATTTTTCATGCCAGTCCTCAGACCTACCCCAGTTGGCACTGGCTTAATATAAGTCAACTCAGTCAGTTCATCTTCAGACACAAGGATGCTACCTATAGATTGGTTAAAAAAAGGGGATATGTTCACCACTGATTTTTAATATTGTAATTCAGTATACACATGCAGCAAGCTTTCTAGAGGTTGGATTATTATCCTGTTAAGAACGTGGTTCCAAATACCATCAGATTTCTTGTGGGAGACAGCCTGATCCAGATGCTATGGCCATCGCCATGTGCAGGTTCTACATGCAGCCCAGACTAAGTAAGATGTTACTACAGAACTGTATTCATAATGCGTACAGGGCAAAAGTCTCTGGCTACATCTTCACCGTAGCTCAATCACATTCCTACAGTGGGTTCCTGTAATTACTCTTGTCCTTTTCCTACTGCTAGGAATAACAACTGTAAATCACTCTCATTCCTCCTGTCAGGACCCATTTCCTGTTGTCCTCATTCTACCTTTGTAATTTGCTGCTATTAATAGGCCATCAGTAAATTATCACTCCACTGGAGAGAGGAAAAGTAGAAAGGAACCTGCACCTCCGAAAGGTGTCTCCTAAATACTCCCTAGGCATGTCTACACATTGCCTTTAGTGCACAATAGCCTATTTTACTGCACATTAGAGCGTCACAGCAAAAACCATGCTAATACACTAATGTGCAGTAAAATTAGGCTACAGCATATTAAGCATCACTAAAAAAAGTGTGAGCTTTTGCTAGTGCACATTAGAGCAGCCTCATGTGCAATTAGTTAGTACCTCACTTTAGAGGTCCTAAATTTACTGCACAGTAGCAAAAGCATATTAATGAACGTGTGAATGCACTCCCAGTGACTCAGCTTTCTGATTATCACCCCTTGATCAATAAAGATATTCTTCTCTACTTGAGATAGAAACAATTGGACTTCTCATGGGACAAACAGGCAGAGTCCTTACATAAGTGCCTTTCAAGCCCTCAGAACAGGGTTCAGCCCCAATCCACCAAAGCACGTGTTAAGTATATGAGTGGTTCTGCTGATTTAAATGAGATTATTCTTGCATAAAATAAAGGATAGGCGTCCGTGTTTGTAGAAGTAGGACCTATACAGGCAACCTCCGCTTAGCACTCTTAATTGGTTCCGGAAAAAACGAGTGTTAAGAGGAACCTCAGTAAGCGAAACCCATTTCCCCATAGGAATTAATGTAAATAAAAATAATTGGTTACCACCACTTCTCGCTGCCACTGCCGCTTTAGCCATGTGCCATCCTGGGCCCCATACTCCTGCTGCCCAGCCCTGGGTCTCACCAGCCCTGGCCCTGGGCACCAGCAGGGGCATGGGCAACTGGTGCCTCCTGAGTCAGGGGGGGCACTTGCCCCCTGACTGGACAGTCAGTGACCGGGGGGGCTCCCCCCATGGCTGATCCTGCTGTCTGAAGGGAGGGTCCCCTTGTGGAGGCTAATCCTGCTGACCCACAACTGGCAGCAACACACCACTGGCACTTCCAGGCACACCGCTGGCATTTCCGGATTGGTGGGATCGGCTGTGGGGACTGCTTCTCCTGGCGCACTCCCCAGCCAGCAGTCTCAGGAGGGGCACCAGCACTCTTACCTACCCCCACTGCACAGGAACACTAGCTGACAGGGGGTGCACCAGCGCTCTCAGAGGATGCACGTGCACCCCTGTGCACCTCCTATGCGTTGCCACTGGGCATGGACCCCGCACTCACGCCTGTGTACCAACTTGCTGCTTCTTCTAACCACTACCACTGCCACTTCTCCCCCTCCCCACTACTCACTGAGCGCTAAGTGGTATGAGGAATGGGGTATTTAAAATGAGCGCTATAGTGAAATAGCACTCAGCAAAACCACGTTATATGGGAGTTGCCTGTAATTAGAATTTGATCCTATCCCTCTTTTCCTTTTCTTTCCTTCTATAATTATGTTTTTGGATCAAGTTTTCTGCATGAATCTAGTCCTCTTTTAATTATAAATCCCCCCCAAAAATGTTTCATTGTATCATGAGTCAGGGTAGCAGGCAGGATAAATAACCCCCAACTGGCTGTGGTTACCCAAGAGGATCTGGTTGCCAACAGCCTAACTACTTTCAGTTGGCCCTAGTTACTTGCACATGTGTGGCTGCCTGCTTATAAGCACAGCCCTTTCAGTGCTCAGCAGAATGCTCAGAAGGGCAGATGCCTCTGATTTCTTGTTCCCGGTTCCTAGCTTCCTGGTTCCTGCCTCCTGACCCCTTTACTCCACAATTGCTGATTCCTAAACACCCTTCTGCCCCTGTCCTCCCCCACCTCGCTCCTTGTCTGCTACTGATCTTCTGGGTTTAAACATTATTTTCAAAATTATTCAAATCAATTAGGCATCTACTTATCACTTTATTTATTGTGGTTACTCAGTTTATCAAATATGCAAATATAGCTGATTGTTAATTTATGCAGTGAATGTCATGACATTCTGCAACAAATAATATCTCAGTTTGCCCAATTATGTCACAGGACATCTCCAAGGCCTATATTTCTGAAGCAGGATAACCTCAGCCAGTAATTCCCAAAAGGTGTGCTGTGGCACAACAGTGTACCATGTAGAGCAACAGTAGTCTGCCACAAGATCCCTTTTTTATGAGGAGGCAAATGGTCTCCTCCACTGTTTAACACCCTTTGCCTCCACTGGGCCCAGCTACTCCAGCAACACCTGCAGCTGCTTCTCTGAGGACTGCCAGTGCCACCACCACTGCCTTCGCCCTCCCTTCCCCACTCCCAGCTGCACCCCCCCACCCATATCAGGGGCCAGGAGTGATGTTACATGCTCTGCTGTGAGTGAGTGGGTGGGTATTCACACAGATGGGGTTGTGGCTTGCAGCCCAGCTTGTCCCATCCACTCTCGTAGTCCCAGGGCCAACAGTAGGGGCTGCAGGTATGGTTGCCAGTGTGTAAGACCCTGCAGGAGCAGTCTCAGCAGCAGGGGCTTCCCTTGTCCCCTGAGGTACAGACACAGATCTGGGAAGGGGCAGACAGTGGAAAGACAAGGGCACAGCAGGGTAAGGTCCTGTCCCTGCCACCTGTATGTGGCACAAGCTAGATCCGTGATTCTCAACATTTTAGCTTCAAGGCCTGTCTCCATATGTTTTCTGAATTTGGATCTCTGTGATTTTCAACTGGGACACAGTGGTCATGTCTACACAAGCATATGATCTGGGATCAGTTTACTTGTGATTAAACTATTCATGAGTAAATGCTTCTGGACAGGTGTCTACACATGCAGGGAAACGGAAGCTGTCTCCTGGCCAGGACTGGGACATTACACCCTACCCCCAGGGGGCTCCCTGCTGCCAGGGCAGGGACAATGTCCCCCTACCCCAGCAGCAGGAAGCTCCTGGCCCAGGCTCCCTGACTGGGAGCAGGGGACTTAAAATGAGCTGCAGGGGAGGGGAAGCTCCCACCCCCCTGCCCCACCCACTGGTGGGGCAGCTAGCTTGCTGCTAGCTAGCAGCCCCACTGGTGGATTGGGGCAGGGGGGTGGGACCTACCCCACCCCTGCAACTCCTTCCAAGCCCCATGCCTCAATCATCTGATCAGGGCACAGGGCTGGGACCTGTCCCTGACTGAGACAGATCCCAGCCCCTGCTCCATGATTGTGCGGTGGGGGCTAGAAAGCCTATTCCATGCTCAGCTCCACAAGTGTGGAGTTGGGAGGGGAACAGGCTGGGGAGCTTGTTCCCCACTCAGCTCCATGAATGTGCAGCTGAACAAGGAACCGTCTCTCCAGCCCCCGCCAGCGGGGAGCTCCAAGCACCAGCTCTGAGACTGTGGGGCCAGCACTGGGAGATCCTTGTCTCCCAGCCTGAGAGATCTGGTTGCGGGGCTTGGGCTGAGAGACCCTTATCTCCCAGTGCTGATGCCACGGAGTGGGATCTCCCAGCCCCCACACCCCAATGGCGATCTACAGTGTGGGGCTTGGAGCTCCCTGCTGCCAGGGCAGGGTTACATAGTCCCTGCCCAGGCTCCGGTGGTGGAGCTTGCCCAGGCAGCAGGTAGCTCCCAGGGGCAGGGAACAATCTCCCACCCCCTAGTGGCTGACTGACTGGGAGAAGATTTGCTCCCAGTCAGGTGTCTACATGAGTGCTATGGCACCATTACTAATTGTGAGTAAATTTGCTACTTGCATTTGCAGGCAGCAAATTTACTCACAATTAGCGAGGCTTACTGCACAGTAAGCATGTGCACGTGTAGATGCACATGCTTACTACACAGTAAACTACGCTGCTTTGCAGCAAAGTGTTTCATGTAGATGTACCCAGTGAAATTCAGAAAAGTAGTATTTTTCAGCACTAGTATGATTGCTTCTGGCATGGGAATAAAATACACTATATATATATATATATATATATATATATACACATATATACATATACATATATATATATATTTGTATGTTTTTTTCAAAACATATCATGTATTCCATTCTCCAGCCAGAAGCAATCATACTAGTGCTGAAAAGTACTGCATTTCACTGCACATACACATCTTTTTGAGTGCAAGAACTAAGTGTGCCACCAATTTTATTCCAGAAAAGTGTGACCCAGGTATCAAACCACTGACCTAAGCTCTGTTCCCACTGTTACCACGAAGGGCAGAATTCTATTTCACTTAGCGGATGACCAATGTGCAGCTTGCAACCAGCAATGAGTTACCCAACTGAAGTATAGGAGTGATTTTATTACTATGGCTGTGCGAAACAGCACCATTCCTCTTTGACTTCAGTTTCAACATTTTGACGGAACCGTGTTTCATTTAGAGTTTCATTTCGTTTCGAAAACACTATTCCATTTTGTTATGTCTAAACTGTTTCAATGTTTCGCCTATAGGCTATAGTGAGGCAGTTTTATGCTTCCCATAACTTTGTCATTTCTTGCCTGATTCAGTTTAAACTGGCAGGGAGGGTAGCCCCTATTGAGGGCATGAAGCCTGCCAAGTTTCAAAGAGATAGGTGCAGAGGTTTCTGGGAAAGTGCACCTCAAGGTGTTGAGAAGCAGGAGCCAGGGAGCAGGAGCATCCTCCTGTGATCTGCCAGGCAGCAGAACCAACCTCCTGTCATCCGGCAGGCAGGTTGGGGGCCTGCCCGCCCCCCAGCAGGGCTGTGGGAGCTCTGCTGGACTCCTGGGGCTGCAGGCCCCAATCTGCCTGCTGGATTACAGGAGGCTGCTCCTGCTGCCTGGGGCCAGCAGCAGCGCCAGTCTTCCTGGCAGTGGGTGCAGGCTGTGCCCAGCGCTGCTCCCAGGCAGCAGGAGCAACGTCCTGTGATCTAGCAGGCAGATCAAGAGCCCGCACCCCTGGGAGGAGTCTGGTAGAGTCCTGCAGTCCTCCCGGGGGCGCAGGAGGGAGGCTGCTGCTGCCGGCTGGGACCAGTGCTGGGCACAGCCCGCACACAGAGCGGCTCCATGGAGCTGAACGCAGTGGAGGAAGGTGGGGCGCAGCCCCAGTGCTATACCCCAACTCCCTCCACCAGGCTCAGATCCCAGCAGCTCACAGCCCCATGGAACTGAGCCCAGTGGGGAGAACCAGAGTGCAGCGCCGGGACTGCACCGCACCTCCCTCCACTGGGCTCAGCTCCCAGCAGCTCGCAGACCCCAGCATCCCGCCCCCCTCCACTGGGCTCAGCTTCCAGAGCGCAGCCCGGTGGCAGAAGGCAGGGAGAGCCAGGGCTGTGCTCCCTACCAGGCTGAGCCACATGGGGCTGCAGAGCCGCTCGGCATGAAGCCCTGGCTCTCCCCTACCTTCCACCAGCTGGCTGCTTCAAAATTAAAAATGTTTCGAAACTTTTGAAATGTTTCGACTGCCCTCATTTTGAGGCTGTTTCAAAGCCCTTCGTTTCATTTCGATTTCACTGTTTCGAACTCAAAACGAGTCGAAACAGCGTCAAAACAAGACAGCTGGAGAAGCTTCACACAGCCCTATTTATTACCTGTTCTGGGTATCTGAGTGCCCCTATTATAGGAATATGATCACCCTTTGGAGATGTACAGATGTCTCTCTGTTCCTAAGAGGGGGCATTTACGTGCCCAGAGTGTGTTAAAAGAATACTTAGGGCCATATCACAAGTTACACTTTATACATGTTAAATGGACTTAAAAATATGCCTGAAGTTCTCATAGCCAAGGTAAAAACAGACATGACAGTTGCTACAGGTAAACTCCATGGAACCAAATCAGCAGGTACGCAGGCATAATTGTATTGCACACTGCTATAGCTATGCTGGAGTTCTGGCCTAATATTTTAAGGAAAAGAGAGCATCTTGCAGTTACCTCTAGGTAAATTGGAAATCCGCCGAGACGCATCATCTTCACTGTTCCAGCTGTCTGAGTCAGACTCCTGGCTGTTTCTCCTAAAGCTGCTTTCATGCCCAGTGTATATCTGGGATCTGAAAAGTATTTGTTTTTGTTGTAAATGGCAGCCTTTACTGCAGTTAGAACTGCAAAAATTTCTTAGTTCTACTTTTGCTCATACCTTTCTTGAACCTTCTGAGTTCAAGCACTGGTATAAGCACTGAGTGCTATGAAATCCCAGGAGTAAAAGGTTTTGGGTTTTTTGTCTGTATTTACAGCGGTGCCTATACATACAGCTGATTACAGTATTAGCTGCTAAAAATGAAATTCCATAAAATTACCTGGATGAGAAGATACATCCAAAAGAACTGTATTCATAGAATGTCCATATAACAACAGTTAAAGTTATACCCACCAGAAAATGGGGTCTTCGAAAGTTTTAGATAAAGAATACCAGGTAGTATCACCTATAATAAATATCAACACCATACGCTTGACATCATGGTGTACAGTAATGAGGACCAACTTTTCTGGCAGAAGTGTCCCAAAGGAGTCCTGCACCCTCCCCAAGTGTCATGCCAATCTCCTTTTCCTGCCTGATCTGCTGCTCTGCTTTCTGTTCCCTGACTCATCTGTTTCCATTTTCTGCTCCCTGCCCTATTTGCCACTGTGCTATGTATCCCCTTCTGATCTATCACAAGCCACACACAGAGGCTGCCCATGCCATTTGTGGCACTCATGCTGCAGATTGGCTATCCCCAGTGAACAAAATCAAAGGCTGAATCAAAAGGTACAATCAAAATACATCTGAATGTGGGGAAGTCTGGATCCAAATCTGAATGTCAAGGCTATCTCGTTTGTTTTAATGGTCTAAAACTCTACATTCAGAACTCTAAGATTTAAATAAAAACAGCGCTTTAGGGAAGCTTGGATCCAGAACCACTCATTCAGCTTGAATCCATTCCTAAGTGTGCAACTGCACGTAAAAAATGGTAGCAGATTTTTTAGCCAATGAAAGCAAATGCTCAAGTTTCCTCAGGATCTTAGTCTGATGTCTTAATTATGAAGTGATTATTTGTTGTGTTGTTAATTTTGCAAGGACAAAGTATTTCCTGTGCTCTTCAGTGTAAGCAAAGGTATTTCTTTTCTCTCCTGGTACTGGAGATGGTCCCCATTGGCTTGAGGAAAAGTACTAGTCCACTCAAACCTTCGACCAAAATGCCACCTTGTGCTTTGACAGCAGGAAAATGGCTGATTCACATGTTGTTTTCCAGTTCATGTCCATGAATGTTTCCAATAAAGGCATAACATATTTCAGTCGGTGGGTAGGTCTACATTGCAAATGAAGACATTACTTTACTTCATGCAAATACACCAGTTGCTTTTAAATGAACCAGCTTAGGTACAGCTTACCACTGGAGCCACAGCCACATGAAGCTCAGTCCAGGCCAAGTTTTACAGCTCAAACACTTGGTGTATACTCAGGCAGCTAGTCGTCACTCGGTGCGTCTACACGAGACACTGACTGCACAGTAGCCAAAAAATACTGCGCAGCAGTGCATCACAGCACAGACAGTGCTAATATGTTATTGCGCAGTATTATTAGGCTACTGAACAGTAGCATTATGTAAAAAAATGTTCACTGCACAGTAACTCCAGTTACTGCGCATTTATTTATTACTTGCTATTACAAGTAATAAATAAATGTACAGTAACAACTGCACAGTAGCATCTCATGTAGACACACCCACTGAGTTCCATATTGCAAGGGCTACATTACTTTCACTACCCACACTAGCTAATTTAAATTTAACTGGAGTATGTCTTCTTGAGTTGTAGCCATATGTCTGGATTGCTGTGTAGATGTACCCGATACCTTACTCACAAGCTCTTTGCATGAATGCACTGTTTACTATTTACTAGTTATTCCATGTGATTGGTGACCTGTGTCACAGGATGTTATTTCTGCTTACTGAAAAAATGACTCCAAAGCTAGAGTCAAGACAAACCAGTGACACCCAGTGATGTTAGTGGGAGCTAAATGTGCACAGCAAGCACATCTACACATGTCACTATGGTGACGTTTTTACTGTGTTGCGATTTAGTACTTCCAAAAGGAAGTACTAAATCATGGCACAGTAACAGCCTGTACTGTAGACCCCCATGTGGAGACCCCTGCGGATGCTACGTCACCGTAGCGCGTTGCTACGGCAACATAGTGTCACATGTAGATGCAACCAGCATGTCTGAAAGCCAGGTCACAGGGACAATATGAATCATATGGTGCATTCTTTAAATGCAACGTGTGCCCTAGAGTCTTGGTCTAAAATCTCCTCTCCTTTCACTACTATGTGGACATTGGTTGGCATTCCCCACCCCAGAAGTCATTGCAGTTTCAATAGTGCTGAATAAATATAGTTTGAACTGTTCTGTAGGAGCGCAGAAATTATACAGACATAGTATAGGACTGCTCAAAGAAATGAAAGGATAAGCTGGTTCTGCTATACAATATAATGAATGTTTGTGCTGGAAACATTTACCTGCCTGCAGCAACATTGGTAACATCCTGATAAACTTGTTCTGCTGAATAATCTTGCAGGGGGGGACTACATTTGCTTTCTGAATCCTATAGAAACAAAATAAGAAAAAAAAAATTAAAAATCAGCAGAAGGAAGCAGCAAGAACATAGCTCATTTCATTGACAACTGTTTCTCTTCTGACAAAAGGTATTTTTTTGTCAAAGTCAGAAAAGGGAAATGGATAGAATAGGTTCCCCTTCAAAGCTAAATGTATGACTGACTCAGCATTGCAGAACCTAAATAGATCTAGATTAAATCTCAGATAAAAAAAAATTAAGAGCAGCAAAACAAAAGCACAAGCTGCCTAGGAAAGTTGTAGAATTGCCTTAACTGAAGGTTTTTTTAAAAAGGCTAGAGGGACACGTATCTAGGGCAGGTAAGGAATAGCTCATCCTACATCTGTGCAGGTGATTGGTTTAGATGACCCTTGAAGTCCTTCCAGTCTTAAGATTCTGTAAATGCACAATCTGTCAAAAATCACTGAACCCCGGAAGAGTTTCTCTCAATTATTCCTCTCTGCCCTCACAAACTGAGCACAATTACTTACAAGTCTTAACTGACACTGTGCTCTTTAATTTCCCTTTGCTGAGGTACCAAAGGTATTTTTATCCCTCACCACCCAAATACTGTATTTATTTGCACACCACGTGCACCTTTCCCCCCAAATAATAGGCCTCCATAATTGGAGGAGGTGGTGGACCGAGGAAGCTGATTTCTGCACTGGAATGCAGGCACTTAGGGTACCTATACACGTGACGATTTTCACCATTTAAAGTATTCTAAAGCCATCACTTAATACATGTGGGAAACTTTAGAATGTTTTTAAAATAGTGGAAGTTGCCTTGATTAAACCTTGTTGTATGTGTTTTAAATGCAAGGCAACCTGCAGTAGGGCATCTTAGCCTACCTAGTTGGCCCTTATTTCATGTGTATTTTAATGGGGCTTCCCCATGGCCTCAGGCTGCATTGTGCTGTGTCCAACACCCCCTGCCTCCTACTCTAGAGAATTACAGCAAGGCATGAAACACACCAAGCCACAGAATGGCTATTAAGTTTTAAGGTGTTGTACCTAAACTGTTTTAAGTAAAGCGCAAAAGTTACTCAGGCTGTCTAACATCTTGACAGATGAAAGGAGCCGTGACAAAGTCAGTCAATCAGTGGTCCTTGGCAGTGGTGTGGGAGAAGAGCCCAATGCACAAGTGGCAAACCTTCCCACAGTGGCTACAGGACCACTTGTCAGATGGAGGCTGAAGTATACTCTGCTTCCTGGCTCACCTGCAGACCTCAGCCTGGGCTCTCTGATGGCTTTCCACAGTGACTGCACCAGCCTTGACCTGGCTTCTCCAGACCGACCAGTTGTGGGCAGATTGTCTACCTGCACCTGTATAGGTACCCATGGATGCTAGAATGGCTGCCAGGATATCTGCTTCCTTCCCAGACACATGCAGGAGTGGCAGAGTCCTGTTATCAGTGTCCCCCACCTGCTGGAGCTGGACAGCTTGAAGTTTGCACACCACATACCCCTGTCACAGCTGTGCCT